GATTGACTTGCGGTAATTTTTATAGGGTAGCAGCATCCCTTCTACCCAAAATAGGATACTCTCGATGCATGTGGGTACTCCCAGTGCACGTGCAAAATACAACAATAAGAGGTGCCAAATTTGTTCCCATTTCAGTAACTCGGTAATTACTGGGGCGATTTCGCTGAAACTTGGCATACAGGTAGGCACCCACCAGGCAATGCATTCCCATGTGTTGCGGTTAGGGTGCTACTGCACGTGCGCACGTGCAAGGGGCGTTTCCAGATCTCGAGAACGGCTGGGCCGATTGCGCTCAAATTTGGTACACGGTTGGGGACCAGTTAGTAGGGTGCCGTGCAAAAGTCATTTTGGACCCCGTTTGCACGTGCGCACGTGCAGAATGCCGCTTCCAGATCTCAGGAACGGCTGAGCCGATTGCGTTCAAATTTGGCACACCGCTAGCGACCAGTTAGAAGGGTGCTTTGCGCAAGCCCGTTGGAAGCACCCTCTCACCCTTCCGCACGTGCAGGGCTCACTATCTCGCTCGCTCGTTCTTCGCCCAAAAGGCGTTTTACTGGTATTTATAGTAATAGCATGGATGATATAACACTGGATTGGTGTCTCGTGGAAATTAACATTGGGATCCGCGACATTGGGATCAGGCCTGCCATCTAGCGAGAGAATTATCGTAAGTTAGGAGCAAGCCGAGTGAACGCCATCTCTCAGCATTATGACACACGTGGGTGTGGTGTTAGTTGGCTCGAAGTGCATATTCCCACGAGTTGGAGGTAATCTTACTGGACCTGAGACGACAAAAAATGTCTTAAATGCTTGAAAGCCAAAAAAGTCAAGCAGCCTTTAGGTAATAACGAAAATAAAATGCGTAAGACGGTGTGTATTGAAACGCCCAGTCCCATCGGCTTGTACGAGCTTTTATATGGCCATTTACTCACAATGGTATACAGCAGTTTGACAATATGTCATACACATTTGGTAGGCTTATTCCTTCTTCTCCGAATTTCGCCCGATTTTCTTCATCTTAGTTAATGTTACGGCACGTGTCACGTGCCAACTTAGGGGTGTCGAAATTGTTCCACATAAAGTAACTCCGCAATGGCTGGGCCCATTACAGTAAAACTTCGTCAATAGTTAGGCACCCACAGGCCAATGCATTTCAATGTGTCACTATGGGGGTGCTACTGCACGTGCTCACGTGCGAGGTGTCGCTTCCATATCTCAAGAACGGCTGGGCGGATAACACTCAAACTTGGTACACAAATGTCACATCGATGCTCGCACTGCATTGATCAGTGCTGACATTGGAGTCGTTAGGAAAACGATGAAATGAGATGCGTGGTGTTTATGCCTTTCTGTTCCAGCAGCTGATTGATCCGCAACAGGAGATCCTTGTTTGTGAAGGCTTCGTCTCCCTTTTCCACTCCTTGTTTAAAATAACATTCACAATGTACGAAGAAGATCACACATCAAAGTTTTAGGCGGCTATCTTGGGCCAGGGCTGCGGAGTTGTAGTCAGAGCCAGCGGTTCTGTTCCGACTCGGAGTCGGTTGATTATCAAAAGCTGTAGTCGGAGTATGAGTCGAACATCACCGAAAAGTCATCGACTCCACAGACTTACTAGGGCTGCAGAGTCGGAGTCAGAGTCGGAGTCTGTGTGAATCGACAGTTCTGCCCGAAGGAGTCGGAGTCGATATTTGGATACCGGAGTCGGAGTTGGAGCCAAAGTCACTGAAATTTCATCGACTACGCAGCACTGGTTGGGTCCTTTTCATAGAGCGTCTTGAATGACATATTGAGCGGCAATGACGTTAGCAATTCCGTTTAACTTTTTCATTAGGCTTATAGATAGTACTTACGTTCATTTTGTTCTTTGATCGGACAATTTGTTTGATTTAGGCCAAGTAAAGACTCATGTGAAAAATAGCGAAAACGACACGTGCTGGCGAAGCCTCCAATAACTCCCTGTTTCACGATTTAATGATGAAATAACATGGAACTGCTTATCTTATTACTGACCCTGCACATAAATCTACTAATTTCTTCGCTTTTGCTGACATATAAAGACATAACCTTTTGAAAAATTGCAAAACAAGCCTGCTACTACACGACACTCCCGTGTGTCACAATGCTAATCAGCGGCGTTCACTCGGCTTGCTCCTAACTTACGATAATTCTCCCGCTAGATGGCAGGCCTGAGCTCAATGTCGCCCAAAACTGCGAAGACACCAATCCATTATTATCTCATCCATGGTAATAGTTAAGTTCAATCAGCTTGGTTTTATAAAAAATTGAACGTTCTTTCTAATGGTGTTTGCAATTTGTCAATAAAGTGAAAACTTCGGGCTTACAGACATTTTAGGGGTTCGGGTTTTTTTTTACAGACATTTTAGGTTTAGGGGTTAGGGGTTCCAATTTTTTGGATCACCCTGTATATCCCTGCACTGTAGACCCAATGGCAAATAAAACTCAACTAGGAAGATATAGAAACGGTGTTCTCTAAAATGCGATGATTTTTTCATACGAGTTTAGTCAAAAATCATCTCCAACTTTTAAAAAAGTGTATACCTACAGTGAATTTCATTGTTTTACAACTTTCAGACTGTAAGTGAAAACAGCTTTCACGCTTATAAAGCCTAAAGACAACGCCAAAGTGTGGTGGACGCGGGCGGAACGAGCTCTCGTTACCCGGCCGCGTGACACGGGGCGGTATCTACAGATCCAGTTGTTGATGAGGTCAGGGACCTGGAGCGGCGCCAACAAGGCTGCAAACCGAACGGCAGCCTCTCCTTGAACGGACGTGTAACAAACGGCGGTGGCAGAGTACAGCACGATCTAGAAAAAAACGGGCGCATTACAAAACCAACAAGGAGGAAATAATCTGTGAGGGTAGGAAACATGTGTTGGAAAATTTTACCACCGAGAGGAAAGGAATTTGTAACGATTATTTGGTTTCTCTACTCTCTAGTCTCTACAAAATTTATCGCTGGAGTATCCGCTCACATATTTTGTTAATGGGATATTAAAAGTAAAATGAGTAAGAGTGAGTAAGGAAATGACAGTCTAAAGTGTATTACAATAATGCGTTGGTGTGTTGTTGCGAACACAAGACACCGATCAAAAACCACTTTACCAAGACACGCAAATGCATTTTCATATCAGTGTGGCCTTTGCGCTCGTATCTAAGTGCTCAGTGTCATTTCGAAGACGTCACTTTGGTACATCAGCCGACTTCTCGACCTACCCGGGGGCCACGCAGTGATCTCTCCTGCTGTCAACCATCGATTAATTATAAAAGAGCACGTAATTTGTCCAAATGGCTCGATTTGTGACAGGTGATAAGAGGCCCAGCGGGGGGCGCTGGGAAGGGGGAGTCGGGTGACGCCCTGCTCTGGCTCGGCTGAGCGAGGGGGGGGGGGCACGGTAAGCGGCGGCTCAGCGGGCGGGCGCACCGCACACAGATCGGACCAATTAGAGCACTGATGACGGGTCAAATTCGATATCAAATGGTTAGTGCATAGGTGAGCCTCCGGGTGTCACTTACTGCGTTCAACTTAAACTGGGTCAAGTGGGGATGCAGGGAAACAATATTTGGCATTAATTCTTTGGTAGAGAAAAGTGTGGTAAGACGGGCATGCTTTGTTTAGTGGATGATACATCGCGAACCAAAATCACAGTAATGCTGTCATTTGGCCTGAATGAGTCTTGAACATTGCGCAGTTAATACCGATAGTGCAACAGCTTAGCTGCATTCGTCTTTAATTGCCAGGCGTTTCCGCGAGAAACAAAAAACCTTCTCCCACCCGTTGAGGTTATAGATTAGCTCTGGACTCAGGCCGATCCCGGTCCCCACAACAGGGCCCCTGAGCTATTCGGGAGTGAGCCACTGCATTCGTCACTATCAGACAAGATCTCAGTCTGTGCAAACATGCACTTAGACCCTGTCCATGATCTGAGCAGTCGATTAAAATCTTATTGAGATGGCTGTCATCATAAGCGCCAGATCAGAATTATCTGCGGGTGCTTTATACAGTACATTAAGACATGCTTATCGGAGAGTGACTATAAAGTACCTAAACTGTCCATAAATGGCATAGACTTAAAATGACATGTAAATCGATCTATCTTCGGCTTCGTTTCACCTAAGTTTTGTTGTAATCTGAACGGAAAAATACCATCAGCGTCTGAAGCCCCGCCATTCACCCCCAATACGACTGTTGTTACCCACATAAAATTATTCCATAAACAACTTAGGTACTGCCTACTGGTCTTTGCAGTGAAACCAATTAACTTATTGTTTCTTTGGCTAGGGCAAACAACTCTGTGAGTACAACAGAAGTATAGCATTGAAAGACCGCAACAAACACTTAGAGATTCGCCACGCTGTAACATAATTATGCTTTCAATCGCTGCAGCACGATCCGAGCAAACGGAAGTTCCGCCCGTCATTTCCACATTATGTGGAACGGAAGCAAGACCCGCACAACAGTTCATTCCGAGTGACGACAGAACGTGACGCGATCCTTTGATGGACAACCGAGTATTTTGATACGTGAGGGAGGACCTCTATTGGTCCAGTGAACAGAGTGACCGGCTGTTCGCAGATATGTGGGTGGAGGCGCCTTTTATTGGTCCGTTGAGAACTGCTGGACGTGGAACCCTGGTTGGTCCTCTGCGGACTACCGGACGTGGATTGCCCACCGCGTTTACTGCTCATCCGGGAGCAGAACTGATCAGAATCCTCGGTTAGTGATCCTCCGAGGGCTGCTGGTCGGCGGCCCTGTTGTGGGATGAGGACCCTCTGCCGGTCCTCGGGCTGGGGACTGTTCCTCTCCACACTGCCGGCGCGGACGTGGGAGGAGAGCCCTCCGAGGCGGAATCGCGCGCCCGTCGCGGGGCCATGAGGGCGCCGCTCCGACTGGTCGGCGCCAGCCTGCTGTCTGGAGCAATGTCAAGGGCAGCCCGCGCCCCACTATAACTATAAAACGCGCCCCACCAGCGGCCACCCCGTCAGTGACGCCTCAGATCAGCACCATGAAGGTAACCAGACCACACCCGGGCCGCGCGCGCACACAGATCCGCGGACCGCCGCGCCGGGTGGATCGGAGGACACCGGATCGCGAGGAAAGGAGAGAGCGCGAGAGGAGAGCGAGTGCTGTGCGTCGGGTGCTCTGAGATGTGGAGAAGGAGCCGTGTGAAGAAGTGTGTGGAATGACTGGGGACTTTGACACGAGGTCGCAGTCTCGGTGGTCCGTGGCGACGCCCCGTAGTTCACCAATGGCCCGTGGTGTGAGAAGCAGGCTGTTCCGACGGCAGCTCCGTCGAGGCCGGCAACAGCCGCGTCATTATCAGGCGTGATTCGCAAGTTTTCGAGTTGCATTATGTTTAGTGCCTTGGCGTTAACGCATCGTTAGTTTTATTTGCTATTAAAAGATCCCTGGTGATATTTGGAGCTGCGGAGGAGAATGTGCCTTTTCAGTTGTCTATTTCTAACTAAATTAATGCAATGTAATGCATCTTGTGTTTGTTTTTACTCACTGATATCTTAAATTTTACATATGAGCGGACAACGGTTTTTAAGGAGTAAAAAATAAAAAAGCGAACAAGCAAACAAATAAAACATAGCCAATCACTGCCAGTAATAAACAGTGTCTAGCTCGCAAATGCATGTAGTTCATTGTTGTAATATCTCATTATAATGCAATTTATAAAGCTGTATCAAAATTGTATTTAATTCATATATACAACAAAATATCATGGTATCTATAAAATTTATGCAAGAACTGATATCTACTGAAATTCCGCCACAGAATTGAGCAAAAGATACGTCAGGCTTTCTACTGAAGAGCTGATGACGTTGTTGGCTCCGTTGATTTTACTCCAGGTCCCAAAAGAGCAGTACGATGATCTGTGGACTACCCCCGCGCGGGATAACCGTTAACAATTTATTTTCCAGGTTTTCCAAAGAGCAGACCGATGACCGTTTATGGCTGTCCCTCCTCTAAGAGCACATCGCTGACCGTTTGTCTTCCGCAGGTCCTCCTGCTGGTCGCCGCCGCCGCGGCGCTGGCGTCCGCCGCCGGACCGCCGCACCCCGGCTACGCCCCAGAGTACGGCTACGCCCGGCCGTACCAGTTCAAGTACGGCGTATCGGACCCCTACACGGGCACCGTGTTCTCGCACGAGGCGCACAGCGACAGCCAGACGGTGCTGGGCCAGTACTCGGTCAACCTGCCCGACGGCCGCGTCCAGCACGTCCGCTATACGGCTGACGAGGTCGGCGACGGCGGATACAACGTGGTCGTCACCTACGAGGGCGTGGCGCAGTACCCAGAGGGACCGGCCGGCCACGGCAGCGGCGGCTACAGCTCACCACGGCCCGTCTACGGCCCGCACGGCGTGTCCCGACCCGCCTACGGCCCGGCGCCCGTCCACCCGCTGAGGCCCAAACACAGCACCGGCTACAAGGGATACCGGGGACCCGCCGGCTACGCCCCGCACAGCGGCTACGGCGCCAGGCCCGCCTACGGGCCGAGCCACTCGGGCTACGGAGCGGCGCCGGCGCACACCAAGGCGCTGAGCTACAGCGTGCCGTCCACGGAGGAGGCCGGCTCCACCGCCAGCAAACACCCCACGTCTAGTCACAGCTCCGACTACAAGGCGCCATCCACTGCCTACGGAGCCGTCGTCAAGCCCTCGGCCACCTACGGCGTCGTGGCCAAGCCGTCCACCAGCTATGGAGCTGATGTCAAGGCTCCCAGCTATTCGTCGAGCTACAAGCCCTCCACTTCCTACGGCGCCGACGCTAAGGCTTCTTCCTATGACGCTGAAGATGAGGCATACTCGTCCTATGACACCTATGTCAAGCCTTCCACCGCATATGGTGCTGATTCTTCCGACTCGGGCGACGGCGACGAAGAGCCATCCACCTCCTATGGCGCTGTTGTCAAACCCTCGACATCCTATGGCGCTGACGCGAGCTACTCGCCCGCTTACAAGCCCTCCACTTCCTACGGTGCTGATATTAAGCCATCCACGTCCTACGGCGCTGACGCGAGCTACTCTTCCGCCTATAAGCCCTCCACTTCGTACGGTCCCGCCTACAAGCCTTCTACTTCGTATGGCGCTGACATTAAGCCCTCTACATCCTACGGCGCTGACGCCAGCTACTCGCCCGCCTACAAACCCTCCACCGCCTACGGTGCTCATATTAAGCCCTCTACTTCGTACGGCGCTGATGCTAAGCCCTCCACTTCTTACGGAGCCGGTGCGTCCTACCCCAAGGCCTCAAGCCACTCTGCTGGCTACAAGCCCTCGTCCACCTACGGCTACGCCCAGTACCCCTCCTACGGCTACCCGTCCCACAAGCCCGTGACTCCATACTCCCCGCCCTCTTACGGCCACGGCTCCTCCTACAAGCCGCCCGCCTCGTACGGGTACGGCTCAGGTTACGGCCACGGCTCATCCTACATGCCGGCTTATGGCTACGGCTCTGCCAGCCACGGCTCCTCCGGTTCCGGGGCCCACGGCGCCGCAACGTACCCCGCCCACCCCTATCAGCCCGCCCCGGCGTACTCTGCCGGAGGGTACGGCCGGCCGTCGTACGGCTACAGCCCTGCGCCATACAAGCCGGCGACCAGCTACGGGTCGTACCCGGCCTACGGCCACCCCACGCCCTACACTCCCGCGGCCGGCTACGCGCACCCCGCTACCGCCTACAAGCCGTCGCCCAGCTACGGTCACAAGACGTCGTACAAACCCAAGCCGTCGTACCACGCCGAGCCGTCCCCCAAGCCGACCATGCTGTACAAACCGGAGCCCGCCTACAAGCCCCAGCCCGCCAAGCCGGCCAGCTCATACAAGGCTGAGCCCGCGCACACAACCCCCAAGCCGAAACCCGCTTACAAGGCGGAGCCCACTCACTCCCCTGCTTACAAGCCGGCCCCTTCGTACAAGGCCGAGAAGCCCGCCCATCCGTCCTCCTACAAGCCTTCTCCGTCTTTCAAGCCGCATCCCATCCATAGCCCGTCCTACGAGACGCCTTCCCACAACGAGTACAAGGTACCAGCCCCCTCTCACACATCATACAAGCCCTCTCCTTCGTACAAACCCCATCCTACCAGCTCCCCGTACAGACCACCCCACCGGTCCTACGCGCCGACGATGGCCTACGGCCGCCCCCACACAACCTACCGGCCCAGCCCCAGCTACGGCCACCAGTCGTACCCAGAGCACGGTCAGGCGTCCGGCTACGGCAAGGGACACTCCCCGGTGCACGCCTACACCCCCAGGCCTGCCTACGCCCCGGTGCATGCCTACACCCCGAAGCCTACGTACGCCCCGAAGGTTGTGCACAAGCCGCTGACTCCTCCCAAGAAGATTGAGTTTGTGCATGTGTACTATCCGGGGCCGTACCACAAGACCAAGTCTGAATAGGCTGTTCAACTTTGTAACTGTGTAATGTGTATGCCGCCATGGTAGCTAAATTATCAGCAGAAGCTAGTGATACTTACTCATGTTACATTGTTGCGTGCAAGTAATTTATGTGCGAATGTGCGCTTTGGAGTGTGATTTTAGGTGAGGTCTATACATTGTCGGGTGCCAATACATTTGAATACGTGCGTACCGATGGTTTTATGAGACGGTTATCATTTACGAATGGATATTACAAGTAACCGAGTCTTGAGAACAGCGGTAAAGTCGGTGAAAAATTGACATATTGACGGAAGATAACTGAGCAGTCATGCATAAATATCTTGTCACCTTAGGTCAAATAGGCACGTTACGAACTTAATCACTCATGGAGTGCTTCCTAAACAAACTACAGCTCCTCATGCTTTCAGGCACAGCAAGACAAGCGATGAATAAAGGAACTGTCCTGAAAACATGCAATGATATTCTAATTACACATCGTTCGACGTAGTATCCATTTACTCACGCATGGCTGTACTGTGAAAATCACAGCCGATGTAAGCGAAACCACTACAAATATCAACTCGTAACAGGATTATAAATTGCTTATTTCGTTGGAAAAGGAACCCGTGTGAGAAATGGAAACAGTAACCCTGCAATTCGACCAACGAGCTGGGCTTATTTCATGACCGGTCACTAGGAGAATAATGACGTTAAAATCGTCACTGAGACAATGTATGCTGTCACTAATCCATCGTACCTAAACCCATATGCTCTGAACAACGTCTCGCATGTGCAATAACGTATCAATTTTCATTTAATTGTTGTTTCCCTCTAACATCATTGTTCTTTTCATCTTCTGTCATCATTTCGTATCATTTCGACAAATTTAGGTATGCAGACTGCAGAGATGGTTCGAGTCAAGCTAACGATTAATGAAAAATCCAAAAAAAATAAGAAGGCATAGTTAACATCAGTCCATTGCCAAAAGAATGGTATAAATATAAATCTAACTCATTAATATGTAAATCGGTCGCCGTTTACCACAATTACCGTATAATTCATCGGGAAAACAAGAAAACACTGCCTGCAGAAAATTCCCCTTGTTTGCTCAGCCCCTTTTACATTCTACATGGTGCGTCCCGATAATGTGAAAACAAACACCAGTGTCCTATACCGTAATATGCGCCTGGAAGTGGTCGAGCTCAGATAATCGTGAGAATACTCACAAACCACAGGTCACCTAGATACGGGGGTGTATTATGTCATTGACATTGAAAGTTGAAAGTGGTGTTGCGAAACTCGAAATGCACCATTGGACAGTAGCCGAGAGGCACGCCTACCAAACAGGCCCACCCCACCCCGACCCATTCTCCGCGGCATTACCCCTATAATTAATCAGTCCAAGGCCGCTGTTTTTATATTACTTACCCCGGAAGAATAATTAATTGCGTCTTCAAAACTTAACGACGCAGGTGTCCGCTCGGGATGACCAGATTCACGCTTCTGAAAGGGCGTCTTTCCGCCGCTCCATTGGAAGGTGTCAGCCGGTGGCAGCGTCTATTGAGGAGGGGCGGGGGCCCATAAGGCGTCCCTGTGTGGCGCGGGCGGGCCGTACCGGCCGCGCGGGGCGCCGCCCGCCCTCCGCCGGCGACCTACCGGGCGGCGCCGTCTCCGCGCGGCGGCAGCTGACCTAGAGCAGCGGCCGGTGGTTCCGCACTGGAGCGGCAGCTCCTGGGACAAGGCCACGGGCCGGGCGGGGCGCCGCCGCGCTCCTGGCAGCCGGCCAGGACATCTCAGCGTCCCCTCCACCCTGCCCAGTGCCCTGCCCCAGCTGCCCTGCCCTGCCACCTCGCAGTTAATGTGACGACGAACAGAGCGGGGTCAGGCCACGCCGTGGCGCAGCAAATGGCCCTGGCAACCTACCAACATGCGGACATTTATGTTGTTTATCACTTGGGTGGTTTATCTCTGAAGGTCAATAAACCCCAGTCAGTTACCGTTGTCATTAAGATATGCGCTATATCACGCCCGTCCTGTGCGCCACCATGACACCGGTGAACTCAGCGCTCGGGTCTGTTTACTCCCGAGTTCTCTAGTCCTGGACAGAGCCGCGTCACGAGCGGACCAGAGCCGGCACCGGTCTGCCGTCAGACGAGCAACAGACACCGGGCTGACCGCACCGTCCTCCGTCCCTCAGACTTTCCCGACACCTAATCCTGGCCTGTGCCCTGCTGACTGACCTCTGCAGCTGCCCGTGACCTCGACCTTCCGAATGACCTTTGCACCCACCCCTAACGTAGCCCAAAACTGACTGCCCTCTCCCTGACGTGACCCTAGCCCCTGACGTGACCCACATCCCGCCCCCTCCCTCCTCTGACGCGCCCCGCGCCCGCTCCGTGAAGTCGTGACTCCGTGAGCGGCTGATGGCGCCGTCGGTAGCCGTGCTAGGAGCCGGTGTGGTGGGCGTCAGCACGGCCCTGGCGCTGCGGACCGACCTGGAGCACGCGGAGGTCACCCTGATCGGAGCAGAGCTGACTCCTGACACCACCGGCGACGGCTCGGCCGGAGTCTGGGGACCGCGCAGCATCGCCGGGCCGCACATCCAGGTGGGTGCATGCCTGTGTGTGCTTGGGTGTTGGGTATGTACTGTACTATTGCCTTTATCGATTCTACCAACGAAGGTGCTTGTTGCTTGGTCGTTTCATGTTACTGAAAGTAAGCAATAAAACGTAGTCTATCAGACTTCCCAACCGTAACTGTCATTCATAAATGTCCTCGATGAAATAGATCCAACGCTTCAATTATTGAGCTTATACAAATGTACTAGGTAGATGTAACTTGTCACAAAAAGCCCCAGAATTGTGATCCACATTCCCGAAAAAAGCGACCTTAAAGGTCGAACCCAAGGCCGAGACAGGAGAGAAATATCGCCTGTACGTGACCGTCTATCTGTGACCGGGTGTCCGTCCTGTCGGCACGGTCGGTCGATCGGACTGGACCGGATCCCCACCTGTCCGTTCCGGCACGGTCAGTTCCGTAACAGCCGGCGGGTGACACGGACGCTGTTGTGTTCCGGATGGCCGCGTCCTTCACACCCCATCACAAGGACGGGGGAAGGGGAACGCCCTATCGCCGACACCCTGCGGCCGATCGGGTGATTAGTGTCGAGAGACAACGTCCGGTGGCTGCCCGATGGCATTGAGGAGAGATTTGGGAGGACGTATCACATACCGGAGCGCTACGGGGTGGATAAGTATGATTTTTACGTGCCAAAAACATGATTTGTTATTTTTCACAACATGCAAAGGCGCTCAATTTGAGTACTTACGATGTAAGTAAGAAACGGATTATTGGTACAAATGCTTGATTTGTTTCCCATATGTTGGGCAAACAGATGTGAAAGGTTTGATAGCAGACTTCCCATTCAATCACCTGAATGGGAACAATTCTGGGTATGAGGGAAGGGATGTGCGTCTCCCCTTTCAGCAGGGCTGAAGATGCACAAAACGTTCATTCTTCCCCGTCCCTGACATACGAAAGGGCATGCGTCGAGCAAAACACGCACACGAAATGCCCGCATGTTCCCGAGCTGTTTGTCTTAATTATCGAAGTCTCACTTTTCATTCTTAGAGCTCTAACGAGCTCCATAGCTCCAAACCAGCCTCATTCAGTGAGCTGACCTTCAACCCCCCACCTAGTTAAAATCGTCACCCGGCCCGCCCACCACGGCTGTGAACGGTCGACCTGACCTGACCTGACCTCTCTCCGGCAGCTGAACAAATGGGGCCGGCTCACTCACGACTTCATTCACCAGCTGTGGCAGGAGGGCGAGTGTCCCGGGCTGGGCATCGTCTCCGCCTATGACGTGGAGGAGAACATGCCGGAGCCCTTCTGGAAGGACGTGCCCTTCAGCTGCACGCCCATGACCGAGCGCGACCTGGCCGAGGGCGGACATCAGGGCAAGAAGGGATACCGCTACGTCACCGTCTACGCCGAGCCCTCCAAGATGCTGCCGTTCCTGATGAAACGATTCCGCGATCTAGGAGGAAAGGTGATCAAATCTCGAGTCAAGACGCTGGACGAGCTCCCTGGCTATGATATAATAGTCAACTGCACGGGGATTGGAGCCCGAGAGCTGGTCGGGGATGAAAAGGTGATGCCGGTCCGCGGACAGGTGATCAAAGTCCACGCGCCGAGCGTGAAAAACGCCAAATTCAGCTTCCCGGGCACCTACGTCATCCCGAACGACGAGTTTGTCGTGCTGGGCGGCACGGCGCAGCGCGGCGACTGGCGCGTCGATATCGACGACGGCGACACGGCGGCGATCCTGGCGCGCTGTCGGCGCTGGATCCCGAGTTTGCAGAGCGCGCGGGTGGAGCGAGTGTGGGCCGGCCTGCGTCCGTTCAGAGAGGGCGGCGTGCGACTGGAGGTGGAGCGCAGGATGATCGCCGACAGGGAGGTGCCCGTGGTGCACAACTACGGTCACGGAGGGTCCGGGGTCACTATGTTCTGGGGCTGCGCCCTCCAGGTGACCGAGTTGGTGAAACGGGAGCTTAGCCGGTTACAGAATAAGAGCAAACTGTAGCCGCGCGGGGGGGGGGGGGGGCGGATAACGTTCGGTTGAAACGTTCAGGCTGCACATTGTTTGCTAGCGAATCTATGCTACCGATCTGAGAAAGAAGAATAATAGACGTTAAAATGAATAGTTATTACCTTTGGGTTACAACTATTTTGAGTTTCCGAATAGAACGCCAAATTTACCTCGGAGGACCCACTTTCATCAGATCATTCAGACGTCAAAACTCAACCACGATTTAGGTACTGATGGCTTCTCCTGCACCCACACCGTTCGAATACCATTCAGTTTTTTTTCTCAGAGTCTGGAGACTGATATTCTAAATCATTTATAAGTAATAAGGCGTTAATCCTAAACAAAGTATCACAAGAGTTTATATGCATGCTACTGACGTACCCATATAAGTACCTACTACCTATGTCACTCAGTCTTACCACGATTGTACTCATACGGATGCGTGAGTTATAAACAGTAGTGGAATAAAGTAATCAGCACTCACGCCTCACTGATTTCGAGTACGGTATTCTGCACGGAGCCGGCATATCAGTCACCGGCCATTCACAGCATTCATCAAAATTAGACCGAGAAACACCCAAGTCTTTGCTGCGCAGAATAGGCTATACTGTTGTTGAAGCTCATTTAATATACCATTTGATATAATTCATTATAATCTGATGATGCAACGTTGTGTGAAGGAGGCTCAGCATGACGTTCAAAACTCGGCTGGCGCGATGTAATCGCCGACTCCAGCCGCAGAGCGAAGGACGGGTCACGCCACGATTGGATCATAAGTAGAAGTCGGTATTGGAACGTGATTTGACTGACCTGAAAACGCGCCATTATCCCCGAGAGCAATCAAACACCGGTCAATTCAGAGCCCAACTATCAGCCGAGCTCTTCCTGTTCCTAGAAGAAAAGTGCGACAAGGCCTGATATAATAAGTACATTATTGAGGCGAAAAATAATGCCAAAGTGGTGCGCTTATAAGCCATACCTACGATCTTTTGCATAACGCAATTGTCGGTCGATCGGGTTTTACGATGCGAACCGCTTTTAGGGCACACTAAGTTTTTACTTTTGTTTTCTGTTATTACAAAATTATTAAAGCAGCGCACGGAGCCACTGTTTCGGGCATATTTTATTTTTATACCATACCATTTCGGTACATGTAGGAACTTCAGTTCCGCCCTAGCCAAGTCTTTCTAGTTTCTACATAGGTCACTGGTCAGGGTCCCAGTTCACGTCAAGTAACATCGCCCCAAGAAAAAGCAAATGCCCGCGATAGCTGTACGTACCTACCCACGCACTTAACGATTGCTCTGAAATTTTCAGCAATTGCGTACGTAAATTGCGCACGTTTACGCGCAGGATCTTTGAAACGTCAATCTCGGATTTTTTTTTATATCAGTCACCTATACCTATAGTCAAAATAAATCGAAGTCAGGTTGATTTTGCGTACACCCTCGATTAAAAATCGATGTGAATTTTGCCAACAGCATCTTTGTGGACGAAAACAATGCTCAAACTCTCAAGCGTCATGCCACAGTTAATACAGGTAATACTGGGTAATACATGTATCAAAAACTAAACCGAGTTAGAAAATGTCAGCCGTGAGCTTATATCCATAGGGTCACCTATTCATGGACATTACAAGCAATTTTTCAACAACTGCTTTTGAGAGAGACAAGCCAGAGCGATGAATAAATAAAGCTACAACTTCGATGTGTTCTGTTCAACGATACGGATCGACTGATATGCAACATTATACCCGGCCAAGCGATGATCTAAATCTTATGTGAATGCTAAAGTCGGGAAAGCTGACCTTCAATGTCCTCTGGTGACCTGACCTTTGACCTGACCTAAAAAGGAGCAATGTGCCTACTTTTTTCGCGATTTTTTAGCCTCTTTCGAACTCCGCACGCCTGTCGCCTGTGTCGCCAGTCGCCACGTGTCCATAGAGTCGAGTTTCGTAAATGTGTAAATGAAGGATTCTCCTTGTCACAATGTGCTACGATCTACAAAGGTCATGGAGTGGTTGAGCCAATTTTGACGTTTTAGAAACTAGAAAGGACGGTGATGATAAAGAAAAAATGATGATCTTGTAGAAATTAATACAGACTGAGACAGAAAAACGCGAAAAGGCGTTCGTAGGGACCGGCTAACCAGTAAAAATTCCTTTTACAGCAGGACTGGCCTAAAATCTCACAGCTCCCCCCCCCTCCCACGACACCACCACCAACACTACCATTTTGCATTGTCCATCCCCTTTCTCTGTGTGAAGCGGCGGCAATACCGAGAGCGACCCTCCTGCCTAAACCGGCCCGCCACCTTCATTGGCGGTAGTACCAGTAGCTACCGCCAGGTGACAGCTATGTACCTATACGGGACTCCACTCGCCCTCTACTCTGCCTTCTAGTCTATAATAGGTATATCGTATTCGTGACTCAAAACCTGAGCCAGAGTTGAGACTTGAGACAAGACGCAAGACAGCATGGACTAGAGATCAGACAGATTGAGACACGAGGCCAAACTCACTGGCCTGTATTTTTAAATAAATGCTTAACAAGAAATCTCAGTGAGAGTAATCATGAGCGATGCTTTAGATGCCTAAATCGGTTCAGAGGGATTGAATGATATTATCGGTTGATGTATTGAATGGTCGGTTTTGCCATGATATAATAATGCTGATGAAAGTGACCAATAACATGGCAGTGAGGTGTATTTTTATATAACAAAATAAAGCCGAAAATATAGAAAGAGCTTTCGTTACATCATTATCATCGGGTTCTCAGAACCCGATGATGTCGTAAGACGAAAGCTCGTTCTGTATTTTCGGCTTACTTTTGTTACATGCCAAAATACACCTCACTGCCATGTTATTGGTCAATTTCATCAACATATTTAAATATTATCGGTTAGTGACTTTGCAGACTGAGACGCACTTGTCCCACCTGACCGGACCTGGTACAACTGTAATTGATGCAAATAATGCTCTAAATCTAGAGACGTGCCAGCATGCAGGCAGAAACAAATATGCTGCGCTGCAATACGAAAGGAGAACGGAGATCATGTCACGAAATAATGCTGGAATTATTCCATATTTCCGTACCTGAATTCTGAAAAGGAGACGGGAGTTCCGGCTTAGGTATGTCCTGCTTGTCCTCTCCTCCTCGATCGTCAGCGGACGCCCAGCATCGGCATTATCACTACACGTACACACACTGCTCGCATCGCCCACGCACAACTTCACACAGCAAACTCGAGAAACCTCAAACTGAACTGAAACATGCAGCTGAAATGAAAGCAATCGACCAGCCCGTCGCCTATACCACTGGCAGCTTCTACAACTGCTCACTAGATGTCAGACTAGTTCCCGTCTCCTACCGCCTCCTGTCTTTACTAGATGGCAGCACTGTACAGCGGCGCGGCCGTCGCCCGTCGCCCGTCGCGTCGCACGCGCGGCCCGCCCGCTAGTCCCGCGCCCGGTGCTGTGTGGGGTGTGTGCTGCTGCTCTGTGAGGCTGTGACCGAACTGATTGAGAAAGCGAGAGCTGAGCTGTGGACTGTGGATGGCGAGGTAGCAGATTCATCGAGAGACCAGCGTGTCAACCAACGAACCAGGGAGACTTGAGCAAGGTGAGCACTGACTACTGAACGAACGTTGTGATTGATCCGGAAGGGGGAGGGGTGCACACCGGGGAGCGCGAATATATTGGATGCTCTTGTATTTGCTAATGGACCTACTTACCGACATCCGGATATCATTTCGTTTTACTTTCATCAAATGCCAGCTGTAATATTGCTCGTTTGGAGTGATCGTTTTTTGTCCAATTTGCGTAAGGCGTAAGCTGCATGTAAATGTAATGCATTCCAATTTTCTCACGGACGGTAGTTTTCGCCTATGGCAGGTCTGATGTGTATTGCATAATGCATACCTCAGGTTTGGTATCCATGCTCGATGGTTCAATGCCTGGGCTTAGGTATACCGGGAGTCTGCAGCTAGGAGCCGCCCAGAAAGTAGGCCCGAGCCCCGAGTGATAGCTCGAGTCTCGATGCAATGATGCTGATGATTATCTGCCCGTCTGGCATGAACTGATAGGTATACCTACCTGCTGTCTGCTGAGCTGAGTTTGGCGTCAGCGACCCAAACGCCTCTCCTAGCATTTTTGCGGCAAGGTTTGCTCTAGTTACTGGTTCGTAGCCCATTCCAATTCCATAGGTTAATCGGTCCAAGCCTTGCTGTTGTCACGCCAGGAGATGATGGTTCTTGCTGTCCGGCACTGCGTCATGTCACTCGGCCACGCATCTGCAGTTGCCGGAGGGACAGCCACAGGCTCAGGTGCTGTGCCAGCATGGTCAGAGCCGTGGCTGGAGTCGGAGTCGGAGTCGGAACCGGAGTCGGCCGCCCTCCCGGGCGGTGTCAACAGGTCAATTGCCATTTCCCACGTCCTCTTTGAGTGTGGGACACCGCTTCCTGCCCCCGTAACGCAATAAAAGAGTCGACACAGTCCATGAATAGCGCATCGTTTTGATGTCCATTTTCGGCCGAATTTATTCGTGACGTCAGACGTTTCTGACTAAAATGCCGAATTTCGATGAACGAGCAGAAAAAATGACATGGGCAAAAGATGGTATCTTGGTTCTTGGGTACGCATTGGTAGGCATGCGAAAGATATCAAGGGAAGTGTATGAAAAGAACCGTAGTATGGCTGAGATAATGCCACAACAAATTGTCTTGTCATTCAGTTAAATGACACCTATCTACTTTCTTTTCAAATGTCACTTTTCCCTTTTTATTGTTTTAATGTAGTTGCGGGGTACGAATCTGATCATCAATGACCAGTAAGATAAATCGGCCGACTAATTTTCCGATCTATGAGTCCTCTGTTACTCCCATCAGTAAGTCGTAAAATAGCACCCGGTATTTTCTGGCCGTAAAACCGGCGCCGCTCCGAGGCGTGGCCCCGCCTGTGTCCTGCACGTCGCCCCGCTGCCGCCGGATGTTGTTAGGGGCCGGCCACAGCGTGTTTTTCTCGTTAGCTCCGTGTGTGAGCAGCCGACTGCGGCGGCGCCTCGAGGGGCCGGGCCGGCGTCGTGCCTCAGCCTCCACCCTGGCCGTTCGACAGCACGGTCACCGCCCAATCCGGGTCAGCCGCGCTGCAGACCGGCGCAGAGGCCGGCTGACGCCCGATGGAGCCGCCGCACGCACTGACTGGCCTCTCTCGGCCGCTGGTCGGTGTCTGAGCTGCAACACCGGGTCAGCGTGGCGCCTCTCAGCGTCCATAGGTATCCCGCATGCTTCGTCAGAGCTCGACATCTAGTCCTTTCCCCGTTAGAGCATCTGCTGTTTTTTCGATAGTTACATCACCCTCAAGTCATCGCTCCCAAGAAAGTGAGCGCCAATCAGTTGAGGTGAAAAGGCCAGTCCGGTGGGTTTCTTCCGCGCACATCTGTCGCGGTTCTCCCAGTGGAGTTTCGGCGGCGGGCGGGGGCCTCTCTCTCCCGTAGTCGCGATGACAGAGCTCAGGCAGCTGGGCACACTCGGCGCGGCGCCCGCCGGCACGGCACGGCACGGGTTATAGGACGCCGGTCAGCTTTCTCTCCGCTCAGCAGCCGGTGAAGCTGTGTGCCGGTGTATTGGTTAGCGAACTGCTCGGAGACGAGTTGGTATAATCCGCTGAGGAGAGCCCTGGGCACGTGCCGGTTGACAGCGAGGAATGGGTCGGAATAGAAATGGCAGTGAGCTGGTGAAACGAGTCGAGGAATGTCAAAACTGCCGAATCTTCAGGATGTGGTTCTGTGTGATGATGCAGTCCAGTGGCCCATTCGACGTGCTGTGATGTATCTGTAGCTATTTTATCGGCATCTCGCCAGTAACCCGTTCCCTTGCTGGATATCATGCGTCGAGGAGCTGATGAGCGCTCAGCGCACCCTGTGGGTATCTCGCTACCCACCGCACGTTTCCCAGGCGGCGACCGCCGAGTAGCGGGCCGTTTGGCCGAGAGGCGCCAGCTGCTGGTGGTATAGTGGGGACCCGGCGGGTGGATCCGTTACTGCTGGACCGCAGCACGTCCACTCCGCCCCTGCTGCTGTTGGCGGGAGACGGAGCCGGTCGGAGCGCCGCAGCGGAGGCTGTGGTCATCGTCCGGTCACCACCGGTCACTACACAGTACACTGGCCACCAACGTTCACCACCGTCACCACTGGTCATCGATCAGATGATGACCCACCCAAAAATGGTCACTGCAGGCTCTCAGTGTCGGCAGCTGAGTGAATGATGCAGTTGTAGGTAATTTACCATGAGTGATGCGAGATAGGGACACTCGTTCGGCGGGTATCGGAAATGCGACTCGAATGGATTGTTGTTGTGTTGTGACGTATTTCGCAGAATGAGTTCCGACTACATATGTTGGTGTTGTGTAGGAAATGTCCCCGACCAGCCCGATATCATTTATCGAGTAGATCGTGTTCGTCATTTCCTTTGAACTTTGTGCCCACGATTTCCAATTAGATGTTTAAAGGAAACATGGCCAGCTCTCAACTGTCCCATGTGGGGCCAGTTCGACACCGCCTTCATTCCACGCCTCTGCGGTGTGACCTCGCCCTGCCCCCTCCCCTCCCATGTCGGCTACCCACGTCTGTAACCGGGCCCGTTTATTGCATATCACGGCCCGCCAGTTACCGTTGGCATCCATCCTATAGCCGGCACCTGTTTTCGTCGGTGAGCAGCCGAGCTGCTTATGCATGCATCTGCCTATACAATCTGGCCACCCCGGCGCCTGAGGGCGGAGCCTTCGCTCACCGGGACCGGCAGGGAGCCGCGTGTGAGCCGGCACCGCGCCGCACAGGGTCCGCTGCGGCTGACCGTCGCTCTCCCGACCTGGTGTGGTTCAGGAGAGGAAGCCCAAAGAGGAGTTTGTGGAGAAGGGAATGATGAAGGACAGGAGAGCGTTCGGTCTGGACAGCGTTCGGTCAACCCGGATGATGCGGCGTCACTGACGTCACTCGATGGTTTTCCAATATTGTCCCGGTGAATGGGAGGCGGCATGACTGTAAACCCTGAATGGAAGCATTATTTGGGTTTGGCTGTATGCGGTAACAGCCTCACCCTGACAGTGAATAGCCTCTAGTTATTTCCTTCCTCCCACATCTCGCTCCAATGCACGATTTACCGTTCACCTTTTCCGTCAAACAATCGGGTCATTTTCTCTGCTGACCTCTAGTTGTAACCCAGATCACAAGTCAGTCAATCTCGCCGATTTACAGCCTGTAATGAGGCCGTATAAGTATGATATACTGGTCAGGCAGCGCCCGCGGCATGAGTACATTGTCTCTCGAGTCACGAAGTGGCTCTGCCTGGCGGCCGTGCGTGGGAGGGGAGGAGAGGGAAGGGCGTTACGTATCGTAACCTAACGTAACCTAGCATAGATTACGTGCCGTGATGTGCTGCGGGCCGGGCTGGGCTGGGATTGTGCCGATATTAATGGTGCTGTGGCTGTACATGTGCGTGGCCGTAGGTGTGCCCTATTTGCAAGGACTGAGGAAGGCGTGTGTACGACCTATAAAAGGGAGCTGCTTGAGACGTCAGACGACTGAGGGCGGTCTGTGTGGGTATACTGAGCTCGTTAGCGACTGTATTCCAGCCAGATGAAGCGCCATCTTGGCATGTGCCATATTTGGACCTTCCATCTCGCTGGAGCTTATCTGGCATCTGTGATGGCCCTGTCGTGGCCGTGGCTTGGCATCAGGCTCGTTGTGAGAGCGTGGGGTTCTTCAGGACGTGTATCAACGCTGGCTGTGAACCGCAGGAGGCCAGCCACACGGCTACGAGTCTGAGGGAAACGCGGCAGGGAGCACTAAAAATATTGTCGCTTCCTAATTCCTTTTGTTATTTTCCTCGAAATTTGGCGACACTCAAAGCTGCTTCACGTATAGACATATGTGAAGTACGAGTATATACCTCAATGTGCTTGGGGACTTGAAACATTTTTAGTTTGCATTTTTATGCCCCACTGCATATGTTTGTCGCATTGCATAGTTGATAGCTAGGTAGGTAGGTATAGGTGATTTTGAAAGCCCATAGTACCATGCTGCTCGTTACAGTGCACAGAAGCCCCCCCCCCCCCCGAGTTCCTAGTCCTGGTTCCCACGCGTGTTCTGCCGGTGTCTAGGCCGCCTGTCCGTCTGTCTTTCCGTCCGTCCTTCGCCGCCGTACACACACAGAACACCTTGACCTGACACTGAGCACCGACATTGCCCAGCTCCGTCTACCAGGACCGCTGGCAGAGATAAACGCACGCCACATGTTCACAGCATTGTTCCCAGGAATGGTACCAGCCATTGTTTGTGTGGAACTCAAGGGCGGACGGGTATTGGACCGACCCGTAGCCAGACGGTTAGCAAGATTGTCCCAGTTTAATGTTACTAGGTTAGGAAAATGAATATGCCACCGAGACGTTGCTTATCCGATGGTTGTGGCTGTGGTAATGCGATGGTGCATTGTATCTACCATTGCAATTCAACATTGCACATGCATTGTGGGCTCGGTACGGCTTCGCGCTAACAATAGTGGATTGCGCTTTCTTTTGATTGTGTTACTCTTTGACATGAAGTGCTGATTGATAAAGCCTGTTCAG